GTGAATTATTTTGATGGAATGGCCAATGTCTGATATTTAACTTTATCGCTAACATCGGCCTATACCGGCATCATGACGATAATATCATGCATCCCTAAAATTTGTCTAATCCTTCTTTTTCTGTGGTTTGTAATATGGATTTAGCAGCTTTGTTAATTAGTCACGAGAACATCTTTGCTAACACAAGCTGAGTTTCATCTAACAATACCTTGCAGTATAAAAAAGAGTTTATGTAAAGTGGATCCTATGTTGTCTTGTTCAGAGTTATGCTCTCACTGAAATATATTTTATTATATTTTATATCTAATTATTTTTTGTTATTATTTCAGTGGGTTTTTTTTTTTCCTCCTTGCTGAGTAGGAGACACTAGTCTTAAAGTAAAAGTACATTAGTTTGAATGAATGTATCTTTTTGTTACGATGACTGAATGACTGTAGATGCTGCAGATGATTTAGTTATTTTCTGGAGAACGTCAACTTTGTTTCTCGTGAAACAAAATCCCTTTTTGTTGTTTCTTTTTTGCAATTATGAAGAAGGCTGTATTCCAAACTAAATAATTTGTTCTTATCTTGCTTTTTAACAGCTCTGATAATGTTTTCTGTGTTTGGTCTCTGACGTTTTCTATTAAGACACAAATTCACACCTGCTCTTCTCTGTTCCTCAAAGCTATTTTTGCCCACTTCACAGTTCCAGCAGGACTAAGAATAGAGGCGGATGAATGAAACTTGTGTGTGCAAGCTAAAGGCACGTACAACAAAAATTCAATTTAATTTTATGTTGGGTTCTCCAAAACACAATTGAAACCACGTTTTAAACTTTAAAAAGACAATTTATGCATTTAGTTGCTATTGTTAAGATTTCTGATTACCATTGAGATTTTTGAGCTGCAACTTCTGCTGGATTAAAAATAATTAAAAAGACAGAACTGAGGAACAACACATTTGTTTGTTCAATTCCAGGCTTTTCTTCAGTTTGTCTGTTTGACAAAGTGTTTGCACAGTTCACAGCTGTCTGAACAACAACAAGCAGCACATTTCAAGCTGTGTTAAGGACACTGATTACAGAATCCCGCTTGTTCCAGTAAAAGGCAGAGAAATTTTAGCTATTCATAGCCTTCCTTTTCTAGACTCACTGCCATGGACTGCCTGTCCCTAGAGAGGGGGCTATGCAATCTGAGATAGGTCTAATGCTTCCCACCACAGCAGCATTGGGACTATACTCCAAAGAGGAAAAGTTTCACAAAGGGTCCAGTAACTTGTCCCTCAAGGTCAAGGAGATTGGTGTGAGCTGAAATGGAAAAATTATGAGCATCCTCAAAGTATTTTTCTACTTTATGTGCTGGATTGTGGGAACTGTAGTAGGTATAGCTGATTTCTAACTTGTCACAGTTCAGATTAGTTACAGATGAGCATTTAAAATGTCTGTTCAAACCCTTAAAGCTTCTATAACAGACTGTTTGTAACCTAAAAGTTTGTATGGAACGACTGACTTTAATTAGCCAATAGTAAATTACCACATAAACTGAAAATAAAATTAAAAAAATCTTCACATTTAAACGCTGAGCAGGAAAGTATGTGTAGTTGTACTGTTCTTGGTTGTTGAGGATACAGAATGACAAAAGTAACTCCCTTGTCTTTACTACAAAATGCAGGCAAATTTTATTTATCAGTACACAAGTTGTATAGATCTAAATCAATTTAGAGTGGTTACATCAAAGGTGTGTGATATAGTTAGTGTGATATAGTTAAGTCAGGTCCAATGGACTTTTTTTTGCTGTTGTTGAAATGCTTCGTCTTTCATCCAAAGGACTTCTTCAGTCCGAGGAGCCACAACAAACTCAGTCCCATAAGCAGCACATTCACATAGTGGGCCAACCAGTTTGATGGTGATAAGATTAGGGGTGCACTGATTGCAGTTTTCTGGCCGATCACAGATTTCTAAAAAATCTGACCTGCCAATTCTAATTTTGGCCTATTCCAATTTTGTTTTATAAGCGACACTGTCAGGTGTTATAAGGTCACAATGCACCTTCAAATTTTTAATCTTATTTAATTGGAAAACATACCCTTGAACAATATCCTAGAAACATTACAAACTTGTTTTAACTGACCATGAGGTAGTGCTCTGAAATATAAATGACGTTTAGACAATTGTTGTTAAAACAAACAAAAAAATTGGTAAAATTGGTTTCTCATGCAATTATTGGCCGATTTCCCAAAATTAAGGAAATCGGGGCCGATTTATCGGTGCACCCCTGGATAAGATCGTTTATGGAGTCCGCCCTCTCTCCCGTCAACTCCTGAGGCAGTCATGTCCAAAGTGGTTCAAAACATCAAAGTTCATGCTCAATAATCCAGGTAGAAAAGGAGGAGTCAACGGGGAATAGGGCGGACTCCAGAAACCATCTGATCACCGTCAAACTGGTCGGCCCACTGTGAGTGTGCTGCTTGTGGGACTGAGTTTGTTGTGGCTCCTCAGACTGATGAAGTCCTTTGGATGAAGGACCAGACGTTCCAACTACAAAAAATAAATAAATAAAAATAAACTGTTCAGTTGACCTGACTTAACTTTGCTGCATACTAAAATAGTATACACTGTCTTTAAATAAGTGCTGAATTGTTATGGCATTACAGTACCATTTATTTGGGTTACAGAACTTCATTTTCAAGCTGCTAGTTGTGGAGAAGTTAAATTTTATTCTCCATTCTCAACTCCATGTGAACCCAAAGCTCCAATTTCCTGCTTCTTGTGTTTTCTACCCAACACCACCAGAATCTTCTGTTATGAGAGGACATCTCCACATCTTCATCAACAGTAGTGATAACTATAACTGAGGCTACATTGACTGCTGGACTGAGAAGACTTGGTTTAGTTGGCATTTGGAATAATACGAGTGTTATGGTGCAAATCTGATGAATTTGTATTTTGATAATAAGATCTGACCAGTTTCAGTTTCATCCCAAGTTCTGGGTCTTTTATGTAACATTTAAAGAACAAGCTGATTAAAGGCAAAACACTTTATTTTTGTTTGATTTAGTGTAGATTTTTATATATTTCAGAACTATATGTGCTTGTAAATTTAGAACTTCAGCATCCAAGCTTCTGTTATGGTAGAACTATATTTTCTTTTGTTTTTGACCTATTACATAATGTTTCTGTGGCTTTTTCAGGAATTTCAAAAGCTTCCAAGGCTGTTATCTCTATTATCTTTGTTTGAGCTTGTGCAGCCAGTCTTGAGTGTTATGAAGCAAAATGCATCATTATTTATGTTCTCCTGCTGTGCAGCATAAACATATGTCCAAGTCTGTAGAATAATAATAAAAAAAAAACATCTGAAAGTTTATGAAAACGTACCTAAGCATATCTACCTGTGTTCAGTTTATTTTTTTTAACATAACTGATGAGATTTAAGCATTTCTATGAAATGTTTTGTTTGTGTCTTTGCAGAATGTCAAGCCCTTCCCCTCCTCAGACAGCCTAGCGAAGGTTCAGGAGGTAGCAAGCTGGCTTTTGGAAATGAACCAGGATCTGCTGTCGGGGGGCAGCAGCAGCAGGCGGAGTCGAGGCCCCGGGGGACAGGCAGTGCGAGGTAACGCCTCCTCCACGGCCCGGGCACCTCAGCAGGCAGCAGAGGAGGGCGATGAGGATGAGCACATCAACCAGGTGGTTGTGGAAAATGAGCAGCTGCACCAGAGGGTGAGTCCAGTTTTGTTTTTATGTGTAAGTTCTTGAAACAGGAAGTAGTCCAGGCCCTTCAAGCTCGACTCAGAACTCTCAACATCTTCGCAGATAGAAGCACAACAGATTGATTTTCCTGTGGGATTTTTCTTTTCTTTTTATCCGGTGTCTTTTCACAGCCGGAGGCGTCACAGGTTGATGATGAGAGGCAACAGCCGTGGGCACCCGGCGAGTCGGGAGCTAGCAACGACCCTCAAAGAGAGGAAGAGGAGGAGGAAAGCAGAGAAGACCCGCTAAATGAAGTGACTGGGGAGGATAAAGGAGCCCGGTGGATGTGGGGGGCAGAGCGGAGACAGCGGGGCCAGGCGCACCTTGAAGAAGAAGACGATGAGGAAGAGGAGGAAAATAACAACAGCAGCATCCACCAAGAGGAGGAGGAGACTGAAGGGAGGACAGAGGGAGGGGAGGATCACGGAAGGGAAGAGGGTGAGGAGGAGGAAGAGGAGGAGGATGATGACGAGGAGATGGACCAAGACAGTGATGAATTTGAACATTCAGCGGAGAGCGGGAGGGAGGAGGAAGAGGAGGAGGGAGGGACAGGGGAAGAAGGGCTATGCTCACCCTCTCTCAAGAACAATGTGTCTGCCCCCAATAATATTCAGGACTCGGGATGTACACGCCAAAGTTCTTCCAAGAAGGTAAGCACAGCCATTTGACAGTTTTCACAACACTGGTCTTTTTAATTAAAAACGGTGTGCGGAGGGTATTTGCCATCATGTCTGTTTAGCTGGCGTTGAAGCTGAAGAGATGGGGTGTGTATCTAATGAGGTAATCATAAAACTGACCACAAAAAAGACCTAAATGCAGAGTAAAGGTTCTTTCTACATCACAGAGTTCAACTCCTATCCTTTGAACCAGCATCACATTGTTCTTATTTATGTCAGCAGCTCCATCTAGAGGCGGTCTTCCTGCGTTGCAATGCACATTAAACTATTGCCAAAGCTTCAAGTATTAGAAAATTACAAAAGCAGTTTTTGACTCGAGTTAAAGTGTCTGATTTACTTTGGTCCTCTAAAGTCCCAAAGCATTTTGTTGAAAAGGCTCTAATGGCACCTCTAAACCCTGAACTGTAGGAGGTTTTGTGATTGATGTGCAAGATTATGGGCAAGTGCTATGTGTTGTCATCAAATGTTTCTATACAATGGTGATATTAGTCTCTGCATTTGACCCATTGCACCTGGGATGCACCCAGGTGGAGCAGTGGGCAGCTATGTAAGCACCCGGGGAGCAATTGGGGATTAGGTGTCTTGCTCAGAGACACCAGGAGATGTGGGAATGGCTGGGGATCGAACCTGGGACTTTCAGGTCTCGAGTCGACTGCCCTGCCTCTACCCCATCTCGTTTCCCCTTAGACTGCTGTGATTGTTTTCAGAAATATTTCAAAATAATTTAATTTTATTGAATTTTATTGTGTTTATGCTGATTTAGCATTCACACTATTGTTCAGCTGTTTTTATACTTTTTTATAATCTGACTTCTTTTGGATACATTGCACTATCTTAGCCATTTTCTTTGCTGGTGGGTGTTCTTGTTAGTATTTTCAAAATTTACTTTTTAAAATTCCCACAGGAATAGTACTACTTACAATATAACGGATAACTTTACTATCACTGTTCATCTGTCTTAGTAATGTTGGTAGTAATTGGTCAACTTTGCAGCCTATTAGTCATACAACATAAAATGGATGCTTCATTAATCCACTTTCTGTACATGATTTGTCCTGTTCAGGGTTATTGGGTTGAGATTGAAGTCCCAGCAGTCAGAACTGTGAAAAGACAAGGGTACACAGTCTAAGACAGGGTCTTCAGAGATACACAACCATACTCGTACACACAAACAAGCAATTTGGAATCACTTCAGCATTGCTTTTCCAGTCTATGTCACTAGAGGGGGCCAGTTGAAAGAAAACTGACTGGATTTTATGTAGTAATTGTTAGAAAAAAGAGATAATGAAGAAGCATACTCAACCACAAATTCAGGTTTTGATTTGTTCTTAATCTGACCCCTCCCCCGAGACCTGTTTGCCATGGGAGACCCTACCAGGGGCCGATTTCCTCGACAACATACCCTCCAGGATCACAAGGATACTCAACCCCCTCCACCACGTTAAGGTGGCAATTCTGCGGAGGGGAAGTGTGATACTGTTCATCTGATTAATTTGACTCCATAGCACACACAAGAATTGAACAACAAAAATGTTTTGGGTCAGTATATTGATTTTGCAGCCGTAATAAAGATAAGGGTTTCACCTAAATATACATTTATATAGAACCACATGTGAAAAGTCCACAGTTTGCTCTTTTCACTGAGCCTGCATGTGAAGTTATGGCTGTCACCTCAGTTGCTCTGGAGCTGTAAGTGATTTGACAGCGTGCTGTGTTACTTGAAGCCAAACATTCTTGACTACTTGCCTTCAGCACAATATTGGTATGTCTCATCATGGACTGCAAAGTGAGTGAGAATAAAGTTGTAGTAAAAAAAAAAAACAAGTAAAATTTTAATTCATGCACTGGCTTTCCTGTTCTTGTACATGGTTTTATGTTAGATGTTTGCACAATAGTAATTTTAGAGAACATGCAAACTTAGTGGTTTTCTGTTTAATCCTGTGATTTATGTTGGCTACCATAGGGTCATTGTTTTTGAATAAGCATTTTTAAATGAGATACTCAAAATTGTTTCTTTATCAGTAAACACTGTGCGGATGTTTCAAACTTTGACATCATCTGAGTGAGAAATCTCAGATGTTTTGCTTTGATTCTATGGTCAAGCAGGAAAAAGAATGAAGGATGTCTGAAGTTCTTTAATCATCTGATAGAGAAAGTTAAAATACTATTGAAGTGAAATACTTTACTAATTATGGATGCGCAATGCAGAAAGTACAATACACATACTGTTTTTTTTTTTAACAAGTTGAATGGGACTGATTATGATGGTGATGTCGCAGGCTGGAATCGTGTGTCTTTCACATGGCTTAAAGAACTAAGATTAGTCTGAAAGCTCAAATAACCTTTGCAACATGTCAAAAGCAAGCATCAGCTCAGTGTCACTTCACTGGTTATTTCATGCCGCTAGCCTTATGGCGACAGCCTTTTGGTCTGTTCATTTTCTTTTATATAAAATTTTCATAGTCTGTCATTTTCCAATAGGTACTGGATAGGAAATGTACAATTTCAAATGAGCCTAAAGGAGTCAGATACCTTTTTAAGAACAAGACATTCATGTTTTTTGAGTGTATGGTAATGCACTATTTGTACCTCATTTTATTGAATTCAGTCTTTACAGCGGTTTGCTTGAAAGATGAAACTTTTTCCATCAAGTTGCAGAACTGAATACATTAGAGCCTGAATGTCTGTTAAAATGATTGGAGTTAGCAGTCAGGTCGTAACTGATATTCAAAATATAAAATACCCATCTAAAATTTAAAGTAATAGTTTTTTTTTTAAAACTGGGATTCTGTGCAAAGGATGCCTGCAGCGCCAGCACAACGTGATGCCGTCACGCGCGCCTACCTGATCTGATCACGGCGGAGAGGATAAAGTCAAAATGTCAGCGGTGTAGATTTTTTTTGTTGTTGTTGAGGATGTCAGATTACGAAGATTATTGGACTATGTTGAGCCTCGCTACATTGTCCCCAGTCTGAGATATTTTTCCAACGTAGCCTTACCCGAGTTACAACCTGTCATTTCTGACATCACTGAGAAGCTAATAGCCGATAGCACTTGGGTGAGTTTTACCACAGACATTTGGACGTCAAGTGTTAGCCCTGTTAGCATGATTAGTCTTATGGCACAATGGTAAGACAAAAACTTTGAACTTGAAAAGGCTGTCCTTCATGCACAAGAGTTCAAAGTATCCCACACTGCAACTAGGAACCTGGAACAAGCCTCAATCACTGGTGACTAATGCTAATTAATAACATTTACCACTTTTCATTTTATATAAGTTAAGGGCTATGCATAAGGCTGTTACTGAATATATGTCACCAGCTCTTACAGCTGTTACACAATTTTTGCAGCAAAAAAGCCTAAATAAGAGGGCTATGTTCTGACAAAGGAAAGTATATTAAAATATTGGTATTGGTTATCAGCCAAATAAGTTTTACCGTATTGGCTATCGGCCAAAAATCCAATATCGTGCATCCCTACTACCACCTGAATTTTTGTAGACTTTTTACATTGCAAATACGTTTTTCTAATACAATTTTCTTTTAACAAGCAGAATGCAGTTAGAATATGGAAAATGTACTGGTAAATGGACTGTACTTGTATAGCGCCTTTCTATCTTATCAAGATACTCAAAGCGCTTTACACTACTATCTGTGTCCACATTTACCCATTCGTACCCAGTCCTCATGACTCAGTGAGACTAATCTGAATACAGCACTCTACATCTTTATAAAGTACTCAGGGCTTTGGATCACATTCATACACCGATGTGTCACACATTGGAGGCAATGAGTGGTTCAGTGTCTTGCCCAGGGACACTTCAACATGTGACTGCTGGTGGAATCGAACCCTCAACTCTCCCTTGGAGGACGACTGCTCTAACCACTCAGCCACAGCTGTCCCAATGCAATCCTCCTTCTTGAACTAACATAAACTAAAATTAGGAGAGTAAAAGTAAACCATCATGTTTTTGACATTAGTTTTCCTTTAAAGGGTTTAAAGATTGAATTAGGTTTTACATAGAAAATACAGTGAGAATATAAGTGGTGATGTGAAATTACCTTGGTTCTATGTTTTGCTAGTGAATACTTTTGTAAGTGGCTAAATTCCCTAGATGGCATTTTTCCACCGGCTGGTTTTGCCTTCAGTCCTACATGCTCAATTGGCTAAACAGCTGTCGATAAGGCATCAGCTTTCTTTAACTGGGCTGAACAATCTGTTAAAAACGTGGGGAGTCGGTCTGATACCCAGGGTCTAAAATGTCTTATGGCATGTTAGGACCCTCACTGTTGTCTAAATCCTCTTCAAACAATAGTGGATGCGAGAATAGAAGAGCTTTTAAGTCCTTTAAGTCTTTGTTGTTGGCTGTTTAAACTTTTAAACAGACACAGTGAAAGAATCACTTGCTTCTCACTTTGTGTGGATTCAACCCTGTCAACTATCCTTTTTTGAGTACTGAGGAGTGTAGCACAAGTGGCACAGACTCCCCGCTAGTGCGCCACTTGCCGTCATGAGCACCTTTATACGTTCACGTCTTTGCCGATAAACTCTTGTGTAGTTAGATTTAATTGAATCGCAAAGACTTCCTGCTGTTTTTACCGTCTTTGTAGATTAACGCAAATGCTTCAATAGACTTAAAAGTCCTTCCCTCTTGACTCTATTCAAGCAAACCCTAGTTTAAAAGTACATGACACACATACTTAAACTTGGCCAACTGGGATCTTCTCCTGAAATACCCTGCGTCCTTGTTGACAGTGACAGTTATTGACATTCCTTGACACTTTGGAACCGTCAGGGAAATGCAGCAAATTCTACCTAAAGCACTGACATTCGATTAGTATGATTCAGATTTGGATGTAGTTGTCTGTAAATAAACTCAACTAGACTCATAGCTGTGGGCCACTTATTTGGACAGAAGGACCACAATGAGGAAATGCTCTGTGCACACAGATGCTGCGTCATTTGAGCACCGG